GTCGGGGGTCTCATATGATGTCACGCATCTCACGTGATGTCAGGGGTCTCATATGATGTCACACATCTCACGTGATGTCAGGGGTCTCATATGATGTCACGCATCTCACGTGATGTCAGGGGTCTCATATGATGTCATGCATCTCACGTGATGTCAGGGGTCTCATATGATGTCATGCATCTCATGTGATGTCAGGGGTCTCATATGATGTCATGCATCTCATGTGATGTCAGGGGTCTCATATGATGTCATGTGATGTAATGTGTATCAGGTAATGTAAATTGTTACTTTGCGGTTGAATTCCTAAACCTGGAGAGTCCAGAATCTGGTGCAGCTCTGCATAGAAACCAATCAGCTTCCAGGTTTTCCTGTCAAAGCTTCATTGATCCAGCTGAAGGTAGAAGCTGATTGGCTCCCATGCACAGCTGCAGCAGATTTTGCACCCTCCAGTGTTAGGAAATCTCCCCCTTTGTGGTGTAGAAATGACTTTGAGGATAGTCCTCTTTTGCCCCATGAATGGAGTTTTCCTTCCATGGTATTTGATCATGTAAAGAAGACTCCATTCATGGGTTCAGTGTCTTTCTTGGGAGTGGATTGCATCAGCTAGGCTGAAGGAAGGCTGGCTCTCGCTGCCATGTGGCCTCGGGTGGGTCCACTTGAGGGCCTTAAGTAAAAAAGTGACCCTGGTTTTTCAGGAAGTTCATTGAGGGGTTGTCTGCCAAAGCCTCAGTCTGGCGTGAATGAAGGGTTATGATTGGAAGGAGGCAACCATTCTGGCCGTGATCCATGTGAGTACTGACATTGAGGAATTTGGGGACTCTGTGCTTGCTACCTCCCCTGCTTGATGGTCAGCGTGGGTCTGGAAAAAGGGAACACTGGCTAGTGTTCTGAAGAGCTGGTCAATTTGTTGCTTCTGCAGAGGACTTTGCTCAGCTATGTTACCTTTGGGCTGTCAGTCTGTTGTGATTGGCTTATACCTGAGAGCTCAGCCCTGTAACTACTACTGCAGAAAGGACTTGGCGCACTCCTGAACTACTTGTTGCTACAAAGTAAGGGAAGTCTATCTGCTTCAGCTAAGACTTCAGAAGTGCTCAACTAAGATCTGCTAGATGTCCTCAGTGTGAGTAATTCTGATTTTGGAGTATCCTACTACACTGATCAAAAAAATCAAGAGGCTTTTTAATCAGAATAGCATCAAGTTAATGAAACTCCTGAGATATTATTCTGGTCAGTTAAGTAGCAGAGGGGGCTGTTAATTGGTTTCAGCTGCTTTGGTGTTAATAGGTGAATTAGATGGGCAACAATGAGATGACCCCCAAAACGACAATTGTTTTACAGGTGGAGGCCACTGACTTTTTTTTTTTTTTCTTTCCTAGTCCTTTTCTGATGCTAGTTTTGAATTTGGCCGGGGTCAGTGTCACTACTGGTAGCATGAGGCCGTTCCTGAACCCTACAGAGGTTTCACAGGCAGTCCAACTCCAGGATGGCACATCAATATGTGCCATTTCAGGAACGTTTGCTGTCTTCCAGCAAGTCTGAAGAGCATGGAGGAGATTCCAGGAAATGAGCAGTTACTCTAGGAGGGCTGGACAGGGCCGTAGAAGGTCCTTAATCCATCAGCAGGACTGGTATCTGCTCCTTTGTACAAGGAAGAACAGAATGAGCCCTGCCAGAGCCCTACAAAATGACCTCCACCAGGCCACTGGTGTAAATGTCTCTGATCAAACAGACTTCATGAGGGTGGCTTGAGGGCCCGATTTCCTCTAGTGGGCCCTGTGCTCACTGCCCGGCACCATAGAGCCGGATTGGAATTTGCCATTGAACACCAGAATTGGCAGGTCCACCACTGGTGCCCTTTGCTTTTCACACATGAGGGGCAGGTTCACCCTGAGCACATGTGAAAGGGTCTGGAGAAGCTGTGGAGGTTATGCTGCCTGTAACATTGTTGAGCATGATTGTTTGGAGGTGGGTCACTGATGGTCTGGGGAGGCATATCCATGGAGGGGCACACAGACCTCTACAAGCTAGACAATAGTACCCTGACTGCTATTAGGTATCGGGATGAAATCCTTGGACCCATTGGGACTCTGCACCAGGAGGAACCCTGGTGCCACTGCATTAGTGTAGACAATGCCCGGCCTCGTGGCGAGTATGCAGGCAGTTCCTGGAGGCTGAAGGAATTGATACCATTGAATGGCCCCCACTCTTGCCTGACCTAAATCCAATGGAACACCTCTGGGATGTCATGTTTCGGTCCATGCACAACCGCCAGGTTGCACCTCAGACTGTCCAGGAGCTCAGTGATGCCCTGGTTCAGACCTGGGAGGAAATCCCCCAGATAGGGGCGGACTGATCATTTGGAAGCTCGGGCATGGCCCCGGGTCAGTAGGGGGCCCCATGAGATGCCCCTGGTACCTTCTTCATAGGCTTTTTTGAGTTTGGGTAAGGACACGGGCCCCATTATCCCCTATTGCCTGGGGGCCCCATGAGTTCAGTCCACCCCTGCCCCCAGGACACCATCTGTCATTAGGAGCATGCCCTGACATTGTCACACGTGCCTACAAGCATGTGGGGGCTGTACAAACTGAGGACCATTCTGAGTTGCTGCAATGAAACGTCAGTTAAAAGGACTCACCTGCTGCATAATTTTTTCACTTTGATTTTCGGGGTGTCGTTGAATTCAGTCCTCTGTAGGTTGATCAATTTTCATTTCCATCAAACAATGGGGCATCCTTGTGTTCTCAACACATGACCCAGTCCATGTCAGAATGGAGATCCAGCAGGAGATTTTTCCCAACTGAGATCTGATTGGTTTTCAAAGTGTTCTGTTTCCTTATGAGCCATGTACAATGCCCCTTCCCTATCCCCAGTTCTCCAGCAAACTCCAAAAACAAACATCCCCTAGACTGGTCATTGGAGGCAACAAGTGGGAAGTTTGCCCCACAGCCAGGCAGTGTATTCCGTCAGCCGAAGTAAATAGAAATGGGACATCATACAAGCAGCCCTCATGAGGGTAGCGCCACACTTATAGGTGACAGGTTCTCTTAGTGGTAATACATGGTGTCAGACCTTGTAGGTCTCCTTTCTACTCCACTGCTGGCTGGCTGTAGGACTACAACTTGTGTATAGGTCTGGGCAGCCGGCATACATGACATTAACATAACATTTTATATATTGTCAAGTCATTGATCTACAGTCGGGTCCATAAATATTGGGACATGGACACAATTCTAACATTTTTGGCTCTATACACCACAATGGATTTGAAATGAAAAAAACAAGATGTGCTTTAACTGCAGACTGTCAGCTTTAATTTGAGGGTATTTACATCCAAATCAGGTGAACGGTGTAGGAATTACAACAGTTTGCATATGTGCCTCCCACTTGTTAAGGGACCAAAAGTAATGGGACAATTGGCTTCTCAGCTGTTCCATGGCCAGGTGTGTGTTATTCCCTCATTATCCCAATTACAATGAGCAGATAAAAGGTCCAGAGTTCATTTCAAGTGTGCTATTTGCATTTGGAATCCGTTGCTGTCAACTCTCAAGATGAGATCCAAAGAGCTGTCACTATCAGTGAAGCCATCATTAGGCTGAAAAAACAAAACAAACCCATCAGAGAGACAGCAAAAACATTAGGCGTGGCCAAAGCAACTGTTTGGAACATTCTTAAAAAGAAGGAACGCACCGGTGATCTCAGCAACACCAAAAGACCCGGAAGACCACGGAAAACAACTGTGGTGGATGAGCGAAGAATTCTTTCCCTGGTGAAGAAAACACCCTTCACAACAGTTGGCCAGATCAAGAACACTCTCCAGGAGGTAGGTGTATGTGTGTCAAAGTCACCAATCAAGAGAAGACTTCACCAGAGTGAATACAGAGGGTTCACCACAAGATGGAAACCATTGGTGAGCCTCAAAAACAGGAAGGCCAGATTAGAGTTTGCCAAACGACATGTAAAAAAGCCTTCACAGTTCTGGAACAACATCCTATGGACAGATGAGACCGACATCAACTTGTACCAGAGTGATGGGAAGAGAAGAGGATGGAGAAGGAACTGCTCATGGTCCTCAGCATACCACCTCATCAGTGATCATGGTGGTGGTAGTGTCATGGCGTGGGCATGTATGGCTGCCAATGGAACTGCTTCTCTTGTATTTATTGATGATGTGACGGCTGACAGAAGCAGCCGGATGAATTGTGAAGTGTTTCGGGAATATTATCTGCTCATATTCAGCCAAATGCTTCACAACTCATTGGACGCTTCACAGTGCAGATGGACAATGACCCAAAGCAGACTGCAAAAGCCACCAAAGAAGTGGAATGTTCTGCAATGGCCAAGTCCATCACCTGACCTGAATCCGATTGAGCATTTCACTTGCTGAAGACAAAACTGAAGGGAAAATGCCCCAAGAACAAGCAGGAACTGAAGACAGTTGCAGTAGAGGCCTGGCAGAGCATCACCAGGGATGACACCCAGCGTCTGGTGATGTCTATGCGTTCCACACTTCAGGCTGTCATTGGCTGCAAAGGATTTGCAACCAAGTATTAAAAAGTGAAAGTTTGATTTATGATTATTATTCTGTCCCATTACTTTTGGTTCCTTAACAAGTGGGAGGCACATATGCAAACTGTTGTAATTCCTACACCGTTCACCTGATTTGGATGTAAATACCCTCAAATTAAAGCTGACAGTCTGCAGTTAAAGCTCATCTTGTTCGTTTCATTTCAAATCCATTGTGGTGGTGTATAGAGCCAAAAATGTTAGAATTGTGTCGATGTCCCAATATTTATGGACCTGACTGTATCAGACATTTGTGATCTGCTGGGGATCTCTGAGCTCCCTCCACTCTCCCACATAAAGGACCTGACGGCCAAATATGGGATATTTTGTGTGTTGCAGTACAGAGTACAGTAACTGCAACCATGAGATGTCTCCTTTCTGTATACAATGTGTAATCCTCCCCCTCTATTATATGGGGTGTAATCATTCTCCTTTCCATACAGACTTTTTTCTTGTGTAACTTCAGCCTCAAACTTGGTCACTCTGTGGAGGTGGAGGGCTTCATTCCAGAGGGCTCAAAAAGGTAGGTGAAGCCTTGGCTACTTCTACAATATAAGTCCGTTATCTGCATAATACAATTTGCCAAAAAGCAGAACTTACAAATGTAGAAAAGTGTGATCTGTGTACAGTACATCCTACTGACCCCTCCTTGCTAGAAATGTAACATTCTCTGATAAATCTGACATCGCGTGTTTTGCTCCATCTTGGGTTAAGCATTTGTGCTCTTCCAGGTTGACTTTTTTTGTCATAATTTATAAAACTTGACAGCCATCATATGAAATGACAATGTGATTCCGATATTTGCTCCCCTACCAGTCCTACATCCCTCAGTCTGGCATACATCTTTTCTGCCCTGGTATGTACACCCCCTTGGAGGTTGGCTGAATTTCCAGGACTTCATGTCAGAAGATGGTGACGCCTAATAGCACTCCCTTGGGAGTTGCTGAAGATTTGGGTCCCCCTATAGTTCTACACAGCCAGGCAACATATTTTCCAGAGACAGCAGTCCTTTAATTTCTTGGATTTTATTAGGGGTAATAAACTTGGATGGGGTTGAGGCATGCATGGGACGCCCAATGAACAGTAAACTGAGTACCACTTCTGGCAACTATATACAAATCCTTACACATTAAAAATCTTCTGGGAGAGCTCTCCTGGTGTACCACCCCAGAACCCAGATAAATTGTTTTTATCCAGCTGTCTGCAAGAATCCCTGGGCAAGGGTATCAAGTGCCTGCCACTTTAATGAACAGCCCCAGGTAAGGAGCTAGGTGGGTTTCCCACCTGAGTGCTCTTTTTCCCCTTTAGCTGGCTCAGGGGGGTGTAGGATTGCTCAGTCTTTTCTGTGAGCTGCTTTAGGTAGATGGCTGCCTCAACAGGTGGTCCTCCCTCTGAGGACTGGCGACGCAGAGTGATCCTGTTTGGGTCCCAGCCTGTAGGTAGGCCCCCACCCAGGCTCTTGCATCTCTTCCTCTATCTTCTACCCAAACTATCCTACTGCTGAGCAGGCCCAGTCTCTTAGAGGCTGTTTTGACCTCATGCCAAGCATCCTGCCTGGGGATTGGCCAGCATCCCTGAAGAGTGCAGACCAGCTCCTCACCCCTGCCCACTGAGTTCTAGAGACTTCTCAAAGTCTCTAGATCATGGAAAGGTATGAGCTGATCTGCAGAGCCTCAGCCCTGATCTGAATTTGACCCCTCTGACTATTTCCCAGGTTGCTACTTGGCCTTCTGTCTTAAAACCAAAAAAACAAATTGGCTTACTCCCCCTAGCTAGGAGGGCACTACAGAAGTGATGGAACAATGTCCGCTCCAAAATCGGTAGAATCCATATTTTTTATTTTTCAAACTACTGCCATGGCTATATTCTCTTTAGCACTTCTCTTCCTGGGGACCCTGAAGTACTATCTACTGTTGGGGCTGATATCTTGGATGATCCCAGTAGAATATCCTACCAGCACATCTTTAGTGTATGGTAGGAAACCATGCAACCTCCATGTGGACAGTGCCCTGATCAGAACTAGCTGACTGTTGGGCAACATTCCTGATATAATCCATACAAAATGTATCCTGTGATCAGGCACCGGCAGTCATGAAAGGACCCCTTTGTCAGTGGATACATTTATATTGCTACCTTTACAGTTTTTCCACCAGATGCACTATCCAGAATATTTGCTGTAGATTACGGTGTAAGCAAAATGTATAGGAACTATGGCTTAGAATTACATTCTGTCCTTTGTCTTCCAGGACCCCACCAACCCATATAGCTGCAGACACTGGAGAAATTCATCCTAATTTACAGTAAAGCACTTCATCACAATTACTTGCCTAGTTAGAGGAAAAAACACCCCTGGAATAGCAATGGGGAGTAAAAGGGCACAAAGTAGTGACTTCTCAGCTGAACTCGGCAGTCTCTGGGAACTGACTTGGCAGCTCAGATCACCCCTCTCCCTACTAGTAGGATGGGAGAGAAGAGAGCAGAGACCAAACTTGAATAACTTCACTGTTTCTCTTGTGAACTTTCAGGATGATTTGTTCCACAGTAGCTGCAACTACAAAGGTCAGTGAGGGATTGTCTTAAAGCCTACTTACTGCTTGTTAGAAATGTAACCATAACTGTATATTCATAACCAGGCTACAGGCTTGATGTATTGTTGGTACCCCATTTGTTCATGAAGGTCTGTCAAGCAAACTGATTTAAGTCTCCAAAAATATTAGATGGTATAATTTATACAGTATGATTTGCTATTAAAAGTGGCAGAAGTACCTCTGAAACAAATGGGAGTATTGCTGGTAAATGACTCGAGTACTATATTTGACAAGGTCAGCTGAGCCGAATAATTGTTTTTTCTGTCTTTCTAGGTTTGTCATAAATATGGGAAAAGATAATAACAATTTAGTGGTCCACTTTGAACCTCGATTTGATTTCAATGGAGACAAGGACAAGATAGTCTTGAACTCGCAGGCAGGGACGGAGTCTGGGGAGAGGAGCAGAAGGAAAACTTCTTCCCTTTCCAGGAGAAAAAAGACACAAAGGTAAGCCTACACTGGGAGGGGCAGGACAACTGTTGGATGGGGCAAAGTGGCATCACTGGTCATACTGGACACACAATATCCATTTCTGAAAGATGCAGTGATGGTTTAGGCCAAGGGTATATAGAATCTGCTATGATGGTTACCCTTTCAGCTCATTCCATGAAGGAGAACCTCCCGCATAGGAAGATCCAATGGATTCCATCATGCTGCTATTGTGCTGAGATATATCACCTAGTAAATGGCTGCTTTTTCAGGTCAATAGTCAGAATTATTGACTTGCTAAATTTTTCATATAACATTTTAATTTCTATTTTGTGTATGTGGTGTTTGTCAGGGATTTCTGGGGCCCCTTTCTATAATCATCCAACAAAGAATGTTACTATAAGGTCTCTTGTAAAGGCTCAATCTGGCTGGTGGGGGGGGGCTGGCCAGGAACTGAAGCATCTGTCATGCTACAAAACTGTTGTGGAGACCAATGTGTGGGATACGGGGCAAAGACTAATGTGTGCCGGGGAGGGGATTACAGGGAATGGATATTACCGCTGTTGGATGCTCTGTTCATCTAAATTCATCTCTGGGGATAGAATTCCTCACACTAAGTGTCAAGGCTTCCTTCTATATGAAAATGATTGACCCAAAATTGTATTACCAACAATTCTCACTTACCCAAGTCATCCATAGTTGAAGGGACCCCTGTCAAGGACACATATGAATTGGAGCCATGGTGGGGACAGTGCCCTAGATTGTCCTAGGTGAGATGCTCTCATCAGAGACCCTGTCACTATAACATTGCACCACAGAAGCGCATCCTTCCATGAACAAGTTTCTGCAACAGATAAAGAACTCATAAGATTAGGTACATGCATGTCACCTTATGGAAAGGGTTTTGTTGAAATGAATGGTTTGGTGGTCTCTCTATGGCCAACACTCACTGACTTTTTTTATAGTCCAACAAGCTGACACTGCCATCTTTTCTTACAGGTTTCCTTCCAGTTTCAGCAAGACAAGATCACCATACAATTACCTCACCTAAATCCTCTCTCATTTCCAGTCCGCTTTCCCTTAGAGGTGATCTCCTACTTGGGTGTGGAATTCCTGCAGGCCAAGTCCATCACATTTAAATGAAGAATCTGCAATAGAAGAGCTGCCTGTCCCATGTATTCACACCCAGGCTCTGTGACATGGTCATAGTGGATAAGACTGATAAATGCCTTTCTATCTTTGTACTCCCCTCCAATCTGCATCCTTGCTGCTCATGTTGGCATACATTGTGCTTTGCTCAGGTCATTTACTAGAAATTTCATCCCCATTTCTATTAAAATTCTATGAGCTCTATTGTCAGTCTATTTTTTATTTGGTGCTAAACTGACTTTGGATTGATTGCTGTAGTAGATGTTAGCTGATAGCACCCTCCTCCTGGATGTTTATTACATTTAAAAAGCCACGCAGTAACCAACAGGGTGCTAATGTTACATTCTCGGCCCGCATAGTCTGATTCCTTGGATTTCCAGTAAGTTGCATTTTTCTGATCTGCAAGAGCTTTCAGTCAGGGGCCAAAAACGTTATCTAGAGGTATAGAATGAAGCTTGTTGGGGCCCCCCCCACCACTTTTTTCCACCACATGCCAAATTACTCCCTTGCTTCAATTGGCTAAATTGGGGGTAGAAAACCTTTCAGAGGCAGATCCCTGGGGTTTTTTTTTAAATATTTCAAGGAAAGTACAAGGCTCAAATGTTTTAACATTCTGGTGCATAGCACTTCTAAGGCACAAACATTAGTGCTCCACCCCAAGAGCCTGCAAGTGCTCTTTCCTCCTCATCTCTTCCCCCTCAGCTTTCCCTTTTTCGTTTCTCCTCACTCTCAAACATGCTCTTACTAACGTTTTTTTGCTATAATGCTCTTCTTTACCCCCTCCTCACCCCATTAATCGTATATCCCATCCTCATTTATGCCCTATCAATATCATTGCATTTATCTCCTGCTCTAAGTCCACATAATGTCACTACTCCAAAATCACAGTGGCATTTGCCCTCAAATCCTGCCTCCCTCGCCCTTTTCTCTCCCAGAGACATCACCCTAAACCAGGCATGTCCAAAGTCCGGCCCGCGTTCCGGACTGAAACGGCCCCACAGGTGAGCTACCCAAATATATAACTTACGGCCCCCGGTAGTGATTCCCTGAAAGCTACTGAGGACTCCAGTGATCTCTTGACATCATCAGCTGGTGCAGGAAGGAGAGCCCAAATCTCGCGACATCTGAGATCTCGTGAGATTTGGGCTTTCCTTCTCTGTGTGCCGGCTGATGACGTCAATTCCCGCTTGACAGATCCCTGGAGTCCTCAGTGGCGTTCGCAGAATCACTAGTGGAGGGCCGTAAGCTATATATTGGGCAGCTCGTCTGTGGGGTCCGGAACGTGGGCTGAGGATCCCAGGTGGTGCGCAGGGAATTACTACTGGGGCTACCATTTACCGGTATCAATTTGGGCTATAATGGATTGGTGCTCAGGATCACTTGACGTCATCAGACAGTGCAAGGAGAAACAAAGCCCAAATCTTGCGGCCTCCGAGATCTCGCGAGATTTGGGCTTTCCTTCTCCCTGTGCTGGCAGAGTGATTTAACACCTGTTTAGATTTGTCATCCAAGTCACAAAATGAAAAGTATGCCGTTTTCAATAAACTTTTGCATAAAATAGTTCATTTGCATTTAATTTTAATGGTTCATCAGAATGTTGGGCAAAATGGTTGGCCCTCGCACATGTTCACTTCATCAAATCTGGCACTCTTCCAAAAAAGTTTGGACACCCCTGCCCTAAACCCTAGCCCTCCATCAACCACCCACAGAACAGGCAATCTCTCTTCTCTGGCAGCAGCTGCAAACCTTGCTCTCATCTCAATTGCCCTGCTTCCACAATCTGGCCCATCCCTCTTATTTGCCCTCTGGAACACCTTCTCAGTCTCTAACAATTTCCACTGTCAATGACCTCTTCCTCTCCCACTTGCTATTACAAAACTTGCCTCTAGGAATCTGACTCTCAGCTGCACTCCCCCATGGTGGCCTCCTCTGGACTCCCTTGCCCAGACCCAGTGGACAAAAAGGGGCAGAGTTGGACTTTCCACAAAGCACTTTCCAGCTTCTTCATACACCTCCCTATCTGTCCCTCTGCTTGTTGAGGTGCATTGTATTAGGTTTTTTTTTCCCCTTGTTTATCTGAGGATTGCTGTCATCAACTGACCTTGCAGCCTTGTGTCATGCTGTAAGGGACCGCCTGGTGGTACCACTAGCACCCCACTGATCAGACATTCCCAGAGCACGGAATCTAAGCCCCAGAGTACTTGTTCACCAGGGCCCCTGATGGTGGGGATGGACTTGGAGTACCCTGAGACCAGGTCGTGGCTACTGAGTATACCTGTCAGTGGTAGGGGTAATCACCAGGGGCTCCCACGGGGGAGAGCCTGATATGGGGAGGTCAGGTGATCCCGATGGGATGGATGGCTGAGCAGGTGCGAGGTCAGACAAGCCGGGTCGGTAGCCGTGGGGATGGTGTGGTACAAAGCAGAGGGCAGAGAATAGTCGGGTCACTCGCCAGGTCAGAAGGTCAGATCTAATAAGGGGCATCCAGAAGAGAGGTCAGGCAAGCCAAGGGTCAGAGCAGGAGAGTACAGCATGGTCAGGTACAATCTGGATCAGCAACTTACAATACACAGGTTCGCAGATACAGGAAAGACCAGAAGGCACTGAATGACAGCTCAGGGCCGTTTAAATATTGTGCCCTGCGCTGTCATTGGTGCCAGGTGCGCCTGCGGCTCTTACTGCGCGCATGCACGAACCTGGATGCCGTGGCCGCCCAGGACCTAGTGCCCGCGTCCTTGCACGGGGATGCGCACTGCGCCTGCGCTGGGACCAGCCGCGGGGATCCCTGACACATGCTTTCTTGAGGACTTCGCTGCATGGCTACCCTAGTTTCTCTACTGAGGTGTCTGCCATCGTGCTTGGGGACTTTAACATCCTCAGACACATCTACTCAACCTACCCTCCTATTAACCTAACACAATGGACAAAAACCATCACCCACTCCAATGGCAACACCCTCAACCTTGTGTTCTTCCACCTATGCACTCCCTTTAACCTCTCCCCTTTTTCCTCTCTAATAGCATCTTTATTAATTTCACTCTCCCGGTCTCCTACATCTCATGACTCCTACCAGGAAATGGTTACATGTAGAAACCTCAGCCCTTCCCTTTTTTTTCACGCTGCTACTGAGTGCCTTTATGATAATTGCACTGCTGACCTGGCCACATCTGCTTAAAACAACATCCTATCATCCTCCTGGGACACGTTCTTCTCTCTACATGCAGAACCAGGCCTTTCACAACCCTGGTGAACCGATGATACCAGAAGTCTCAAGAGATGCTGCTGTGCTCTTGCGCAAGTGTGGCATAAAACAAAATCCTTGAAGACTTCACCCTCTACAAATCCACCCTTCTCAAATACGGCTCTATCCTCCCATGCTGCTAAACAAACCTACTACAACACTCTCCTCAAAACCCATTCATCTAATCCTCCAACACTTTTCTGCCCTCAATTCCTTTTTCTGCCCAGGAGAGTGGCAGTCATTTCAAGAACAAGAGCTACACAACCTGCGATGGGATCTCCAGTGTCAAGCTTTCTCCTCCAACATACCAGGCCCAACACCACACTCAATAGTCTCCTCCTTTGGCAACAGGGTCAAATGCCTTTCCAAGGCTTACCTTATCACCTGATCCCTCATGATCATTGTAACCTACCTGCTCTATCCTAAGCTCTCTAATCCACATCTTCAACCTTTCCCTCCCTTGCTCAAACATGCACAGGTTACACTCATACTTAAACCCTAACTGGACTCCACCTGTTTGAATAACTTAAGACCCTGCTCCCATATGCCTCCAAGCCTCTTGAGTGCCTTGTTCACAACTGCATGAGTTGCTACCTCACCGACAACAACCTTCTTGATCCTCTATAGTCTGGCTTCTGCCCACAACATTGCACTGAAATGGCCCTACTAAAACTCACAAACTACCTACTAACTGCTAAAGCCAATGGCCATTACTTCATATTCCTAGACCTTCCCACTGACTTTGACACAGTGGACACCTGCCCCTCCTCAAACTCCACTCCCTTGGCCTCCATTACTCTGCTCTCTCCTGCTTCTCCTCTTACCTTTTTCAGTGTCGCATGCAATAACTCCTCTTACTATTGCTTCAATACTACCTCTATGCTGAAGACGCCCAGAATCTCTCTCCACTCCCCAGCTCACCCCCTCAATCTCCTCATGTATTACAAATCTAAGCGACATATCAGTAGAGATGTCACACCACTCCCTTAAAACTCAATCTTTCTAAAACAGAGTTTGTAATATTACCCTCCCCACCCAATCCCCCACTCATGACTTTACCATTAAGATCAACCACTGGTCCTTCCCCTCATGCCAGGTGTTCTCTTGTACTCTGACCTCTCCTTCGGGCCCCACATCCAATCACTGGCTAAATCCTGCCGCCTCAACCTCTGCAACACTTCAAAAATCCACTCCTTTCTGACCAACGACACCACAAAACTCCCTCCTCACTGGAATACCGTTACACAGGTTATCCCCCTTCAGTCTTTAATGAGTACTGTTGCTAGACTGCCTCTCTGCCAATCCCTTCACTGGCTTCCACTGACCCAATGTATAAAATACTAACCTCAACATATAAGGCCACCCATAGCACTGCCCCTAGCTACATCATCAACCTCATCCACAGATATTGTCCACTCTGCTCCTCCCAAGACATCTTGCTCTCTCTAATCACCTCCTCTCATGCTCACCTCCAGGACTTCTCCAGTGCCTTTCCGATCCTCTGGAACTCCCTACCTCAGTATATCCAGTCAGTCCTTCCCTGTCTGCCTTTAGGTGATCTTTGAAAAATTCACTTCTTCAGGGAAGACTATCCCACCTCCACCTGAGAACTATACTTGAGCCACCTCCATCACATCATCTCCTGCAGCTATCACCTTTTGTACCATCCCCCCCCCCCCCCCTTTAGATTGTAAGCTCCATGAGAAGGGCCCTACTATTCCTTCTGTACTGAAATGTAATGTAATTGTACTGT